TCCGTGTTCTTTCCATTTAGTTCTCCATTTTATGCCGAAGCCCCCTGACCCACGATCCCAGTGATGCTTGATTCCCAAATTTGCCACAGCAAGTAGAATCTCAAAGCTCAATGCATTCCGAGTCTGGGTATCTACTTAACTCGTTCATTTTTGATTTTATGACAGGCTTCAGGCAGCTGGGTCTGGTTCGGCCGACGCCCTATCAACGTCCAACCCCGAGGCTCTAAGCTCAACAACGAAATCCCAACTCCACCATCCCCACTAGACCTTCCTTTCAAGGTTTCTGGACAGGGCGATTCGGCTTTGCATGATGCATTATATCATCCGTTAGGGAAGCTCAACCATACCCTGAGGAACCTATCGGCTGGCGGGAACCTTGTTTCAGAAACTCACATGCCAGTAAATCTTAGAAGGCCTGTCTGAGTAGAGCTTTTCGGAGGCAGTTCGACACATTACTTGGCTCTCCCTGGAGCGGACATTATGGCCGCCAGAGGAGAGTTCTTTTTTTGCATCCAGTGTTGAGGGTGTGCGGTCTGGGGGTAGGGTGGTTTTTGGGGTCTCATCAGAATCTAGCGTTCCTTGATACATGGCCTAGCTAACACCAGGAGCGAACTAAAAAAGTGGCAGTTACAGATGCAGTGGTCAGGCTGCGCATGGGAATGGCCTATGTTGTTGCAGTGGAAAACGTTAAATCTGTTCTTTGGCTTTTGATGTTCACATACGTGAGTCCTCGTAGCATACCGCGCGAAGAATGTAGATGCTGCAACGAGGTTTCCAAACATGTCAAGAAATTCAGGTCTCTATTTCCAATGCCTTGTTTTTGGATTTCGAGTTTTGGATGGCAGGCTTAGGATGCCACGTTCAGGGCCCAGGCTTACGTGGAGCCGTGGAGGTTGAGTTTCACTACGGCCCTCTCGTAGCTATATCAGTTATATCCCATTGTAGCCATCTTCGTAGCCATCTCATGCCACTTGGGCGCTTGCTGCTTCGTAAGTACAGCTCCAAGCAGGTGAGAAGTACCCAGGACCTGCAGGTACAGCTTCAGGCCGTCAGGCTTGCACGTCCACAGGGCTGTGGGTGGTGGACATGTAAGCTATATGTATGGTTTGCTAGACTGTTCGACAAACTGAATCACATAAGAAACCAGGGCATGGTACTGAGGGAACGTTTTCACCACCTAGCATACCCCGCATCCAAGAACAAGTTTTCACCGGGGCTTCCTCATTCCTAAGTGATGAAGATTGCATTGGTGCTGGGCCAGGAACTCATTCAATGACCCTTGCGGAAAACAGACGTTAAATCCCAAGCTTAAACCCGAAACGGAGGTCAGCGGAACACCCGCAGGGTTCAGTCTTAGATTGGCTAAGTGCCGGAGGAGACTTGTCGACAGCTGCTTGTGGTGGGATACACAGCTGCCAGCTCGGCATACAGGGCTATTACATGAAAAACCTGGTGTGCGCTTTGAAGTGTTTGTGTGTATGTAAAAGAGCCAAGATGGGGGCTTGTTTGAAAGTCTATTAGGGAGTGTGACTATATAGGGGTATTCATGGGCCACAGTTTTTGCAGATATTTGAGCGGGAGGTTTGTAGTGTGCGCATTGATCTGTGCCTTGACATTTTTGCACACCCCCAAGATGAACTTGTAGCTTGGGGGGCATGTTCTGGGGGGTCGAAGATCCTTTTCAGTTGAAAGGAAACGGCCCCTTAAGAATTGGGCCTGTATAATAGCGGCCTCTTGGTACTTAGCTCTCCATATCAACTAATCCAGATGTTTTGCGCCGGGCCCGGCTCCAGTATGAACTACATGAGTCTCCCTTTTAGGCAGTCTTTTGCAAGCAAGCAGGCTCAGCCTAGAGCCAGTGAGATAGATGAGAACATGTTGCTTCAGGCATACCCACGAGCTTTATTCTGCTAAGGAGGGTTACTGGGAGAGAATTAGGCAGAGATACACGTGTTTTGGCCTTACCTGATTTGGGTTGCTCCGCACTGCATTCAAAAAAATATCCTTGTAAGCAATAAATGATCCCAACCATAAAGTTCTGCTCTACTGCCCTACTTTATGATTTGACTGGTTCACAGTCGCTTGTTAGGACGTCGTTGGGGTAAGAAGCTTCCGCTCAAGCACATTTTATTGCCCAGGACGGCTTCCAGATTTGGGATCTGCGCCTCAGAATCAATAGCCCCCTTTGCGGATCCTCAAAGCTAGGCTTTGACCAGACAGCCCGCAGCATGGTATCTCTCTTCTCCTTATGGCGACCCCGAACGGTACGGGCCTGTGGTTTCGACAAGCTCCATGTCATTCTTCCACCCCGGGAAAGCACTCAAAAGTGGTCTGCGCCTTTAGGGTTTACATGCTAGTGGCTAGTTGGGCAGCAGGGCGTTGGAGGCAGATAATTTCCATTTTCCAACAGCACCAATGGCTGGCTCGCCCACCACACGCCGCTTCCCTCTAATGTTGAACACCTCCATGCCCCTGAGATGGTCGCTAAGACAGACTATCTGCAGGTGCAGGGAGGTACATGCATGTGTGTTTGATGCTAGGGGGAGGTGCTAGGAGCAAAAGAAGGGCACCATGCAGCATTCCCTCTCCAAAATGAAATCATGGTTGGTATCTACACTAACACCTTATGGTTGAGTAGAGGATTGGACTCCATGGGATAGGGTGCTCCCCAAAACAGTCACCAGCAAAGTAGATCCATCACGGCTAGTCCCTGCCATCATAAGCCCCCAAAGCATACAGAAGACCTCAAGTGGCAGAGCATCATCCTTGGTCAGCCCCCACGTTTTCTACTGCAATTGGAAGAGGAGCTGCCGCGTGAGGAGTTTGAAGAAGTGCTTTCTGTACCCAGTATATAGGTTCCATGATCTCTTGTTCTCTGATATAGACTCCGCACGTGGAAGGCTACACTCTCGTAGTTGGCCCCACCTATCGAATTGCAACCCAAGGCAAGATCCAACTGCCGCCAAAGAGCTGGTATCGAAGTATGAGACTTGGGATTGGAGCGAGATGTGGGTTAAAGGGGAGATGCAGCATGGAAATTATGGATTTAGGATGTACAGGGACGATGGGTTCGATGGGTTGCAGTTTTAGGGCTTGTCGGCTTAACGCCCATGTCTCAGGCATTAAAGTTTCTGGGTGATCTGGGTTAGACATAGTGCTGTCTGTAGCAAAGGAACTCGGCTTGCAAAAACGTTCCCAGTAGAGTGTGCCTCCAAGTCCACGGCCATGTCTGAGGGCTGCCAAGACCATAATCCATGCGGGCAGAAGCCATGTGCTTTCAAATGGTTACTGACCCGCAGACCTTGTAATGTTGCTGCCGGGCAGTTTTTCTACTCAGCAAGTCTGTTCGCCATTTTCATCTCAGCCGCAATCTTCTTGCTCGTGGACCAGAAAAGCGTGGGATTGCCTTTGAGTTCTTGCGGTGTGCATGCAACTGATCCCGGCGACAAGTTTCAGTCCGTTGGCAACAGGAGTCTCGGGCTGAGGGTCAGTGATGACCAAACCCTTTTATATAGCTCGAAAGGATGAAAGATGGCCTTTAAGACTGGGACAGGCCGCGTCTCACATCGTAGGTTCCAGTCCCACAAAATTTCGCAGGAAGAGCCGAACCCAGGAGTCTAAGACCGAAAGTTTGACAAGCTCCCAAATTCTTGCTTGTCCAGAAGCCCAAGCATCCTGAAACAAACCGAGGACGTCCAAGCCTCAAATCCATCTTCCTGCAGCAGCATCATAAGAGGCAAACAAAACTGTCACCTCAATGGGAGCACTTCCCACGCTTTGGAGGGCAGTTCTCCACCAGAAGGATCCAGCACCCCCGCCCTCATGGCAAAGGCTGCGCTCAAGGTGGCAGTGAAGGATACAAATGAGCTAACAGTTACAGGGTGGGCTCGGATACCTTCGAACGGGGTCCCCGAGGCAGCCACCAGAAAGTAGGAGATGGAAGGTCCAGGCCCTGAGAGAGAAAAGAAGCTGGTGGCACGGATGCCCTCGAACGGGGTCCCCGGCACGCAGCAAAGGAATGATCAGAAACTCTCTTCCCTGTGAGGCTTTCCGCCATCATGCCATCAAGTCCTCTCGTGAAACCCAGTAGCCATGAACCTCTCACGTGACCGCCAGCAGGCCTGCTGCTGCCGACTGTGCCGGTCCGAGGGCAGCAGCCTCCGACATCTCGGCGCGTCTTCGGAGGACAGCACGGG